AACTATAAATGTTGTTATTATTGCTATTATCAATGTATTTACTTTCATCATTATTTTTTTTACTATAAATAATTTTTTTGGTAAAACTTTCATAAGTAATATTATAAATCACGCATACACGCAAAACTAATTATTTAATACACATTAAATACCAAATAAGATGAAATCTTATCATATTATATACAACTCATGCTTTCTCTACTTAAAATAACAACACACACTAAGTAATTGTTTAATACGCATTAAACACCGATTAAAATAAAATCTTATCTCATTCATATACAAGTAATGCTTTCTCTACTTAAAATAACTACTATAACTTTCTTGATCAATTCATTTATTATCCCAAGATTCAGTCAACATCTTCATCTCAATACAACAATGCCCATTAATTTTGTATCTCGTTGCAACTTGCAAGTCCAAAGAATTGTCATACTATATATAACTTCCTTTCTCATCTTCAAAATTTACTGTTGAGCATTGTTTAAAAATAAAGGGATGTGTGATAAAATTATTGTGTGGATAAATGGTAGAGGAAGAAAAATTATGCAATTATCTAGAAAGTAAACTTCTATAAAAAAGGATAAAAAGTTCTCACTAGAGAGAAAAGGAAAATTAAAACCCTTTGAGAGGAATGAAGGAGGACATCTAAACTTTTGTGTTTGTGATTTTGCTCAAAGAAGGAGAATCAGGATGCTTTAGAAACTGGGTGAAAAATGAATATATTTATAAGTATACGTATAAGTTGATGGATTAAAAAGTGGTATAGTAAGAAGAAAATTCAAAATTCAAGATATGAAAATTTGATTTTTCTTCAGCCTATACAATCTGCATCAGTAGCAATACAGGATTAAACAGTTGGAGTACTATTCAATTCTAATAAATGTCAAAGCCAATAAATGACTCCAACTATCGAACAATTGATAATAAATTGCCTGTGATTTCTAAAAGGTTTTAATTAAAAAATGCAAAATGGATATAAATGAAGAAAGAACTTAATGCAGTTACGTATACTTTTGAGTCATTGACTAAAACTTAATCTGATGAATACAGTAGGATGAATCGTACAACGTTTTTTTTTTTTTTTAATAAAGTGGAAAGGGTTAAGTTGCCTTTATTATCATCATAGCACAAAGAGTTTTTAATAATATTTAAAAAAATATTACTTATTTTTGTAATATATTATTAAATGTTGTATATATTTTGTATTGCTAAAAAAATTTAATAATATTTTTCAACACAATAATGTTTTTGTAATATTTTAATGATATTACTAAATTTTTGTAATTTTATAAAATAATAACTTTAATTTACATATTATTATCAATTATTATATTTTATACCTCCTAAATTCCTAAGAGTTCTTTAAGAGAATGTTGAAAACATTCTTAATTAATTAGTCACCATTAATTATATGTCACATACCACAATTCATTTATCTTAAGTATAATTATATAATGATTATATTCAGTAAAAAAAATTATATGATTATATATGTTATTTACGAGTCTTTCATTTATTCGGTGTGGAACTTTAATTATGGGTAACAATTAGATATGAGAGAAATATATATATTTTTTATTTAATGTGAGACTTTGATTTTAGAAGCAATTAAAAAATAATAATATTGAGATAAAAAAATGTTACTTATCGCAATAATATTTTAAAAAATGTTACAAAATAACTTATGTAACATGTTTTTACTCGATATGAAACTTTGATTTTGAAAATAATTGAAAATAATAATATTAAAATAAATAATGTTACTCTATCTATAATAACATGCATTTTTTAAAAAAATGTTACAAAATAACTTATTTATTTAATATATAGTAATATTTAAATAAATGTTAGAAAAAAAATGTTGTTAAAGAATTAAAACGTAGTAGTGTATGTTCTTAAACTTATCCTATATGAAGGAAATGTTAATTGTGTGGATTTGCATATTATGATAGACTAAAATTTTTATTAGGGCTGTTTTATTTAATTCATCATCACCACATTTGGACATTGGTGTGTGGATTTGCATATTATGATACACTAAAATTTTTATTAGGGCTGTTTTATTTAATTCATCATCACCACATTTGGACATTGGTGTGTGGATTTGCATATAACTATGATAGACTAAAATTTGTATTAGGGTTGTTTTATTTAATTCATCGTCACCAGTCACCACTTTTGTACACTAATATTTACGCTTTTTATTTTATCCCCTCGCGGAAACAAAATAAAGTGGCTTAAACTGCAATTTATTTTCAAAGAATATTCTTTCAATATGTTTAAAATTGTATGTATATTGTCTGTCAAAAAAAAAATGCATGTATATTTTGTTTTTATAATATTACAATTTTATCCAATTCACAACAGTTGTTTTTAATATGTTTGTGTTGTTTTCGTTACTACGTATATTTTATGCTTTTACAATTTTATTAGATTAAGGCAGTACAATGGAAACTTGGTGGAGTTAGGAGAACATGTAGGTATTATATATTGCGGATTAGCTATTAGAGAAATTGACACTAAATTAACATTAAAAAAAAATTATACTGACGGAGAACTCGAGTACTAAGGAACATGTGTGATCACTTTATGATGAAAAAATTAAATTTAATGAGAATTTGGTTCGTACTACATATACACATGACATTCATCTAACTTCTTTTATATATATATAAAATCAATAGTTAGCTGCCAACAAAGAGATCCCCTAGTACTTAGTATATTTGTTTTTTTCTTCTTTTAGAAAAAAAAAAACTAATTTCACACAAGATGGTTAAATACATTTAATTTTCATAATTTCATTAAAATATACACTATATTTATTAAACCATCTTCAATCACGTTTATTATAGATAATATTCTTATTTATTTATTTTAGAAATATTTTTGGATAAGAAAATTTTAAAAATATAAACTTAATTAAAATTTACTTATATTTAAATCCAACAAGCTTAAACATTTTTTATTTATAAATAAATTTAAAGGGAATTTGCTATATTAAATAGACAAGATGTACAAAGGTCAAATGAGATCTAATTTAGTTAATCAAGTATTAGGGTGAGTATGTTATTGGAAAATATTTGTGAGTTATTATAAATATTTTAATACTAAATTTTATTTTTATGAATTAAAAAAGTAGATGAGGGTATTTTGGTGTTTCCGAAATAACCAAAACTTAATTTGGTTCAAAATTGCAAAATTAATATTGAATTTAAAAATTAAACACAATTCATTTTCTATTCAAATTAAATTGGAGATATATTCTCCGAGTTACTTGCCTTGTTATATGAAAATTTTGTATCTATCTTTATAAATACTTACAAAATTTAGTAAGATATACATGACTAATAACTATTAAATTATCGACACAAAATTGTCTACTTTTAAATATTTATAATTGTGTTTAAATCTTATACATGCAATCGTGTTAAATATTTAACTAGAGTTTTAATACTTATAATAATCTTATTTATTAACTCAACAAGATTGTCCACTTTTTTTTTTCTCAAAAAAGTTGTCCACTTAATAATAATAAAGTCACGTGAGGTTTTAATATAAAAGATCTATATATTTCCATTTTAACTTTGAGTTGATTCTATTTTATTATAAAATTTTAAAATTAAATTAATATCTTACAAAAACGTGACAATGCTTGTATATTTACCTAATCTATTTATAAATATGTTATGAAATATTTCCTAATTTGTAAAATATACTGTTAAAGTTTTAAATTTTGACTTACAAATAAAGAAGTTCATTCTTGGAGATAAGTACACATTAAAAATCGATACTTGAGAATTATAATAAAATTAAATACCTATATGACAAAAATTTAAATCACTTACAACTCTAATCATTTAGGACATGTTTGAATATCGGTTTCAAAGTATAAAAATGTGTGCTTTCACTTTCCAATGCATAAAATCTAAAAACAACGAGATTATTGTTTTGAAGTAAAAGTGGATTGAGTTGAATTTAATTTTTATTCAAAAACACACTTAATTTTTAATTAATAATTATTATTATACTTTTTCTTGATTACAACCACAATAACAAGTATCAAAAATAAATTTCTCACTATTTATCTTAATATTTAATTTTATCGCTAGACCAATCTTAATAAATTTTGTTATTATTACACTTTAATTTTTAAAAATTATAATAATCTGTCCTTACATTAGAGTAACTAAGATTAAAAAGTGGAAAAAAATAATAACAAGATAAAAAGTTGATCAATAGATATACCAAAATCAGATAGTTAAAACCTGAACAATCATATGAGCACATGGCAAATGATGATACATAGTTAGACATGGTAACGGGGCGGGGCGAGGGCGGGTTTTACTTTCTCCGGCCCTGCTCCTGCAGATTTAAACCACCATCGCCCCATCCCCGCCCTCATAGATTTAAACTGCCCTCGCCCCCACCTTGATACCTGTTGGGATAAAATTTGGGTATCCATCTCCATTCCCGGCGGGATTCGGGTTTCCCAGCCCCACTCTCTTACATTTTTTTTTTTTCCTTTTAAATTAATACAAACAAATTTTGAAAAAATAAAAGAAAAGTAAAATAATATAAATTTTTACATATAAATATTTCTAATTTTGATTTATATATATATATATATAAATAATTTTTAATTATATTATTAAGCGAAGCGGGAGAGGGACGGGTATTAACATCCATGTCTTCGCCCCCGTCTTCAATTTTATCGATCAGAGAAAACTCAAACTCGATAAACACAAGTTTTCTCCATCCAAATCGAGATAGGTTTACGAAAGCCAATTAGATTGTGATGGCCACACAGTTGTTGAGTTGCATTTGCACCCGTAGTACCATCTTACATGTTTTGATTGACCAAGAAAAAATAAAACAAAACATTTCTTCACATGTCTATAAATATGGCCAGACCAATAAAGGCAGCAATAAAAACCACATATTCTGCTGTAGTCATAAGTAACCTCTCCTTCACTAGTTTTCTTTGAATTTCCCTTCTTATGGAACCCATAGTTACCAACAACAAGAAGCCAAACATGTTGGAAAAGAAGTGGCTTTCCACTGCTTTGAATGTCAGAAGCCAAGGATCAGGCACTGAGACCATAGTCTTTGCTCATGGCTATGGAACCGACCAGTCCATCTGGGACAAGATCACTCCCTCCTTTGTTGAGAACTACAAGGTTGTGCTGTTTGATTGGCCATTTTCTGGAGCTGTCAACGATCCTACCCTCTATGACCCTTTCAAGTATTCCTCCTTGGAAGCTTTTGCTGATGAGTTGGTCACTCTCATGGATCAGATGGACCTCAAAGCTGTCACCTTTGTTGGCCATTCCATGTCTGGCATGATTGGTTGCTTAGCCTCCATCAAGAGGCCTGAACTCTTCAAAAGGCTCATTCTCCTTTGTGCTTCCCCAAGGTACTCTTCTTCTTTCTCTTGCTTTTTTTTTCCCCCCCTAACTAAAGAAAAAAAAAAGCTTGTGAAACGTAACTTGTTTTTAAACTTCTATTGAAACATCAACTAGTTGTCAAACACTCCTTTCACAACTCTCTCAACAAAGACATGAATCTTGTTTTGTTTGCCATATTTTAGAGACTAACCTTTTCTACTGGATTCAACTTCATTAGTTCCCAATCCTTTGTTTTGTGGTTTTAGGTAATCATGGTATTAGTATAAGATATTCATCATTTTTTTTTTCCTTTCATTGATTTGATTAAAAATAATTTCCCGCTATTCCTTGTAAAGAAGTTTGAACTTGTTAGTTTATGGGATATATCCTTAAATTCTTGAGTTAGTTGATGAAAAACAATAACTCTCTTTTTGCATTAATCATGGACAGTACTACTTTCAGCTGTTTTTTTTTTCTTCTCCCTCTTCCTATCATATTACCTTTTTGAGTTTTGTTAATAATCATAGTTTTAAAAACCGGACCGGTCATCGAACCGGTTAAGGTACTGAGTCAGTGGGTCAAAGGTTGAACTGGTGGGTCACTAGTTGAACCGCATGACTCGATTTTTATTTATTTTTATTAAAAAATATTCATATTAAATATATTTTATACTTATAAATTTTAATAAATTCATATCTTATTTTAAATTTCAATTTTTCTATCTTATTTAAAATTATTTTTATTTTTATTTTGTAAAAAAATACATAAAAAAATTACATGTTAAACGGTATATTAATACAAATTAAAAATATAAATAATATGTACATATATAATAT